AAATTCAGTGTAAGTTGTTGTTAAATGAGGCCAGACTCAAACCAACACCTCATCTTTGGTTAACCCATATGGAATTTAGGAACTTTCCTAAGTGGTTTATTGCTTTTGATGGATTAGAATCTTCTCTGTGGATTCTTATTAGATGCATTACCCATGTAATGGGTAGTGTGTACACCCATTCACTGGATATGTCCTCATTCATTAAATGCAAATAAAGCTGTTCCTTATTCATGTTTGCATTTTCCTAAAACCTGGGTAAGATAGTGACTTGCATATAATTGCTCTACAAATTTATTTTTCAATTTGATTTCAGGGCCATTTCAAAAAAATCTGTGTAATTCAGAATAAGTTTTTAAATTTAGATTTTATTATTACCAAAGTTATGTAATTGAACAAAAAGCCTTGACCAGGCGTAGTGGCTCATGCCTGTAATCCCAGCACTTTGGAAGGCCGAGGCAGGTAGATTGCTTGAGGCCAGGAGTTCAATACCAGCCTGGCTAACATGGTGAAACCTCGTCTGTATTAAAAATACAAAAAATTAGCTGAGTGTTAGTGGTACACACCTGTAGTCCTAGCTACTCAGGACGGTGGAGGCAGGAGAATCTTTTGAACCTGGGAGGTGGAGGTTGCAGTGAACCAAGATTGCACACTTCACTCCAGCCTGGGTGACAGAGGGAGACCCCATCTCAAAAAAAAAAAAAAATAGGTTGTGAAGTATTTTGGTGGAGGGCTAGGGGAGGAATAGCATTAGGAGAAATACCTAATGTAGGTGACAGGTTGATGTGGTACAACAAACCACCATGGCACATGCATACCTATGTAACAAACCTGCACGTTCTGCACACGTATCCCATAACTGAAAGTATAATAATAATGATAAAGCCATATTCTCCAAGGCACACTTGTTAGGAAGAAACATCATCCCCATATACACTTTCAGTCCCCAGTTTTGCCTATCCAGAGACAAGTGCTTGAAATAATTTTCGATGACTCTTATTATGTGCTTGCATATCTCTAAATACTACATGTGTGTTGCTTCTTGCTGATATTTCTACATTTCAGGTATTATTTATCGACTTCCCCAAATGAAAGAGGAAGCTTTAATATTTTTTCACACTTTTTCTCCCTGACCGTGCACACTTAGTATCCTACCATTTCCCCAAACCGTTGTATTTTATTTTGCTTATATCTGTATTTGGTGATTATATTGTTATGCCTATGTAAATGTTACTCACATATGTGGCTTATTTTATGATTGCTTTTTCTTTATTTTTTTTTTTTTTTTTTTTTGTCTGAGAAGGAGTCTTTCTCTTACCCAGGCTAGAGTGCAGTGGCACAACCTTGGCTCACTGCAACCTCTGCCTCCCGGGTTCAAGTGATTCTCCTGCCTCAGCCTTTCAAGTAACTGGGATTACAAGTGCATGCCACCACATCCAGCTAATTTTTTGTATTTTTAGTAGAGAATGAATTTCACCACGTTGGCCAGGCTGGTCACAAACTCCTGACGTCAAGTGATCTACCTGCTTCAGCCTCCCAAAGTGCTGGGATTACAAGCGTGAGCCACCTTGCCCAGCCTGATTGCTTTTTCTTTCCGGCACAATATTTTATTTTCCCTGAAGTTTTTTCATTTGCTTGATATCCCCTGTACATACCAATAATCCAACCCCAGAACTCTCCCCCAGTTGTACAAATCTCTCAATATGTTCACATTTGTTAGGTGATCTCGTCTACCTACCTCATGTCTCTTAGAGCTTTCTTACTTGTCATGTTCCTTGTAGGTCCACTGCACAGATGTGCTCTTGAGCCTTCCTTCATCATAACCATGAAAATTCCTTTTGTTTTCTCTTGGGTCAGAGTCCATGTCCTCCTTTTTCTTGGGTTACTCCTCATGTCAGTGGAATACATCTTAACAATAGTTTCCTTAGAGGGTGCATGAGAAAATACATTTTAAAAGGTTTTATGTATCTGAAAATATCTGTCTAGTTCATGCTTGTTTTTAGTTTAGCCGGTTATAGAATTCTGACTTGAAATCATTTTCTCTAAGAATGTTGAAGGAATCGCTCCATTGCCTTTTACCTTCAAGTTTTGCTGTGAAAAGTCTGATACAGGTCCTCCATCTGTGACCATTTTTTCTCTCCGTGTTTCTATAGGCTCTGTCTTTGTCTCCAAATTCTGAAATGTTACGTTGATGTACCATAAATACGTTCTCTATTCATTCCTAGTGCTGGTCACTCAGTGGGTCATTTTACTCTGGCAACCTGTGTCTTCAGCTCTGGAAATGTTTCTTTTCCTTTGTTTCCCTATTTCATTCTAGAACTTCTTTTTTTTAAACTGATGAGGAGGATTTGAACCTCCTGAATTTATATTTTGCTTTCATGTATTTTCTCGCCTGTTTTCTACAGTTAAAAATTTCTCTAAAATTTCTAGGGGTTTTTTTTTCCCAACATATTTGTTACTTTCTAAGAGTCATTTCCACTAAATATTTCTTTTTTATAATAAGTAGTCTATTGTTTCACAGGTGTAAAAATATCTCATCTCTCTCTCTAGGTATTAGTGAATAATTTTAAGTTTTCTTCTCCCTGAAAAGCCCATTTTCTCCAGTTTGCTTTCCTTCCGTTTGCTTTTGTTTTTACAGTAGATGCTTTTCTCAACTGTCTAGTAGCTATTGGCTGTCTACTCATTAATAAACTCATTGGAAGCTCTCTGTATGGTATAGAGGTTGTCATCCATGATTTCCACTGAAGTAATAAGCCAGGATATTTCACTGGGAAATTCCAGTGGGCAAGTCAGACATCCCATTTTCTGCCTAGAACTCTATTCCTAACTGTGTTTAGAAGACCAATAAAGGAAGAAGGCTGGGAGTCGATCTTCATTTTTAGTATGGCGCCTCTAGCCTTCTAGTCTCCTGCCTCTAGCCCTCTGCTAGGGTTGGTGGTGGTGATGACAGGGCATCATTATTTGACAACTGAGGCGATTATGAAGGTCAGCTCACTTTTTAAAGAGATTTTAGCCAATCCTTTTGTTTCTCTGCTGATGTATTTTCTCTTATTCTCTCTGTCCTTTCTGTGTATGTATTTTTAAATATGTGACTGTCATTTTTACCAAGGTTTCAGTAGGAAGCAGATTGAGGGGGATCTGTGGGCTAATACCTTTCATCAGATTTGGCGTAGTCTTAGCCATTATCTTTTCAAATATAGCTCCTCCTTTATTCTCTTGTATTTCTAAGGGTCTAATTTATACCTATGTTAAAATCTCTCAGTGTTCCACATCTTGTACTATTTTCTATTTTTTTTACTAACCTTCAGTTTTTATATTTTTCCATTTATGGCTCTAACTTATCAACCCTCTTTTATATTGTGTCGAAGTCAAGAACTGACACTGTATTTAATACTGAACCAATGCCCATTTGATTCTTATGTATATTCTAGTGTTCTATCCCTTTTAATTTATTTTCTCTTTCTGCCTATCTTCGTAAACATACTAATCATAGTTATTATGAAGTGCTCAATAGCTTACCTCAGAATCTGGATGGCCTGGGAATCTATAGTGTCTGTCTATCTTGGTTGGTTTTATTTTGTTTTCCTGTTTTTATTCACATACTCTGGCCATGCTTGGCAGTTTTTCACTTTATGCTAGACATGGTGTATAAAAAATTGTGGACACACCGATGGTGATTTATTCCTCCAGAGAATGTTGACCCTCCCTCTGCTAGGCAAATAGAATAGTAGATGATCTTTTTTTTTTTTTTTTTGAGACAGAGTTTCTCTCTTGTTACCCAGGCTGGAGTGCAATGGCGCGATCTCGGCTCACCGCAACCTCTGCCTCCTGGGTTCAGGCAATTCTCCTGCCTCAGCCTCCTGAGTAGCTGGGATTACAGGCATGCGCCACCATGCCCTGGCTAATTTTTTTTTGTATTTTTAGTAGAGACGGGGTTTCACCATGTTGACCAGGATGGTCTCGATCTCTTGACCTCGTAATCCACCCGCCTCAGCCTCCCAAAGTGCTGGGATTACAGGCTTGAGCCACCGCGCCCGGCTATCATTTTAATTCGGTTAAGATTTTGCTGAAATGAGACTGGTTTGCAGCCCTGGTAAAAGCTCATACTACCTCTGGTTTCCCTCCAGCTCACCAGCATCCTTATTTAAAATTGTGGTATCATCTTCAAATCTCTTTCCCATTATAAGTTCTAAACTTTTAAGTCATTTTCTCATTAACTGCCAAAAATCTCCATTATGCTCTTCAGAGGTATTTCTGGTAAGGTTTTGAGCTTCCTGTTCTGCACAGCCCCAGAATTCAGCAATTGTTCTTAGCAGAAAACTAGCGTGCTTGAGGCCACCCAAATCTCCACCAAAACTCTCCTGGCTTTTCTGTTCAACAACAGTGACCCCTGTAGCTTAAAAGTACAAATCTGTTTGCATTGGAAACTGACAAAAGCTCATAAGTTAAAAATGTGCAACCGAAAGTCAGTTGAACTCCTGGAGATGTTCCCCTTCCCAGAGTTTGGTAGTTCTTTTCGTTCTCAATGCTTTAGCCACCCTCTGCTGCATTCAGATATGATTTCTGTATTTTATCCTGCTTACTTGGCAGAAGCACTAGACTGCTGCTAGCTACTCCACCCCACTCGGAACCAGACATCTTCAAGATTGAATTTTTCATTTTTTATTTTGAGAATTGGGAAAAAAACATTGCAGTTGTTATAGGATTAATTTGGAGACGTGTTGAAGTGATTAAAATCATAGTTGGAATTAGTTCTGTGCCATGCCAATTATCTAGGGTGCTTTCTTTAAAAATTGAAAGAAAACAAATTATCAATAGACTTTATTTTCTAACATTATTATACTCAAATTTCAACATATTCTTGTAGAAGAGAATTTAAAAATTATTTCTGTTGAATGTAAGTCTATCTGGAATTAGAGGAATACAGATATGTTTTATATGTGTAGAGAAACCAGTCGTGTATGGTTTGTTGATGTAATTTAATTTACCATTTTATTTTACAGCATCTAACATTCACAAGGGAATTTGATTCAGATTCTCTTAGACATTACAGCTGGGCTGCCGACACCTTAGACAATGTCAATCTTGTTTCAAGTCCCATTCATTCTGGGTAAGTAACCTAAATGTCACTTTTCTTTATCCTACTACATGAACATTGCGTTTATTATTTACAGTTATAAATTCACATCAACAAGCTTCATATATATGAATATATTCATGTATGAAATGTATACTCATTAGTATATGTAAAGTGTATTTGTAATCATTAAATTTTTTCTAAGCAATTCTGTATGGGTTTTTTTATGAGAAAAAAATTAATTTTGTTAGAAAAAAATAATGAAATTATTGGTACAACACACTTTTTTCCTGGCTATTTTGATCTTTTAGGTCTTTAATTTTCCTTTTCAGAAAATTTCCTTTTTAAATATTTTAAAATTTGAAATATAGTGATTTTTCTTCATTTTGCTTTTCTATTCAAATGAAGTTTCTTCTGGGTATCTGATTTTCTGATAGAAGAATTTCTCTCAAATATTTAGTGGTTATGTTTTTTGTTTTGTTTTGTCTGACAGGGTCTGGCTCTGTCGCTCAGGCTGAAGTGCAGTGGTATAGTCCTGGCTCACTGCAACCTCTGCCTCCTAGGCTCAAGCCATCCTCCCACCTCAGCTTCCTGAGTAGCTGGGACCATAGGTGTGCATCACCATGCTCAGATAATTTGTGTGCTTTTTCATAGAGATGAAGTCTTGTCATGTTGCCCAGGCTGTTCTCAAACTCCTGAGCTCAAGCAATCCATCCACCTTTGCCTCCCAGACTGCTGGGATTACAGGCGTCAGCCACCACACCGAGCAAATATTTGGTTTTCAAATTAGGAGTAAGCTGTGGCATTGTCATTTTTTTCTCGTATGATACAGGTCTTTGATTTGACAAATGATTTGTTTTGTGTGATTTTCCTTTTAAAAGAATATGTAAATTTTCAAGTTAGTGCCTTCTGCATTTCTGAAATAAAATTACAATTAAGTTGTATTAAATTAATTAGAAAAAAGAAATGAATAAAAAGAATAAAGATTAAGAAAATAAAAAACATAGCAGTATCTACACCAGAAGTGCTGTGGTTAAAAACCACATCAAGTAGCCTCCTCATGCTGCCTCTCTGGTCAGTGGAATTTGAGACTGGACTCTAAAAGGGAACTTGCTTCAATTACTAAATTAATAAATTAGTGTGTCTTTAGATACTAGTTTCTTCATCTATAGTTAATTCAAATTTGGGATAGTTGACATCCATGTAAGTATAATCAAAATAATCTATTAAAATTATGAATATTTCAAGGTATTTTTGCCTTTGAAATTGGCATTTAGGTCATAAGTTAATTGTGATCAAGGACAAGGGCAGATTATTTTGTAATTAAATAAATTAACAAAATTAACAGTTGTGAAGTGCTTCATATGTTGTGTATTTGCTGCTGCTTCTAATTAAAATAAATTGTAATAGCTAATGCTTACTTAGTTCTTGTCATGTACCTGGCATTGTGCTAAATCTTTTACATGTATTGTCTCATTGGATATTTACTTGAAATTTAAGATGATACTGTGAAATACATATTACTCATTATCCCCATTTTACAAATAAAAAGTCAGGCTTATAGTAATGCTTCAGTTTATTTAAAGAATCATCATAGATTTTGGCTTTGTAATACTATGATTCTGAGAAACAGATCAATATCATTCAAATGGGAATAACTGACATGAAAGTACTTCATAAATTATCAACTTTATGGTGGCTTTTGAGTTATTAACATTGCATTTCTTTATGCAATTAGAAAAACCTTGAATTATTATAATATTAATTTTTAAACTGCTAAAATACATAATTTATATTAGATGCATATGGGTCTAATATTGGAAAAGCAAAATCATAAATAAACCAGATTCGAGAAGGAAACTGTACAACATTTGGGATACATTCAGGGAGCAGACATGTTGAAGAGTTTTTTAAATCACACTTGATGAATTGCCACCTTAATTCAAAGACCTGAAACCATCACTTTGTATTCGCTACAAATCAAAGACAGGTAGTAGGGCTTAATTTAGTAAACTGAGAAGTTGAAGAAACACAATAATAAAATCAGAAACGAACTTTCCCATACAGTAAACACAATGAAGTACTTGAATATGCAAGTTATCTTCCCTTCCCCTTGAACTTTATTGAAGACAATAGAGACAGCAGACATGTGCAGAAAAGCAAAAGTGATGGCAGCTAGTGTGGGCTTATTTGAAAAGGAAAATATAGACCTGGTGGACACTTAAACATATTCACTGATGCCAGGTCCTTGGAGAACTTCATGTAGCTATGTAAGGCAGATAATTTTCTAGGTTATCCCACAAATGCCAAATGCCCTGGTTTCATTTTCTGATGGTTTTTATTTTTCCTTTGCTTGTCATTGACATTTTCTGTTGCTTGCTTCTAATTATATTACATTAATTTTTCCCATTTGCTTTCTAAATTATTTTGCAGCTATTCTTCTCCACTTCCTCAGTATGATTCAAGGTGATAACTGTGTCCTTTATGTGAACCATCTTTTTTGTATTTTTAATTTCTGTGAATTTTTCCCACAGTTAGATTGTGTCATTGTCTGTAGTGTATCAGCGTTTGTCATCCTGCTGTTCCTAAAACTAGAAACATTCATGTATTAGCTTTAGGATCATTTGTAGAATTCGTGCTATAGTTTAAATATTAATAAGATACAAATATTATTACATACCACCTTTTAATTTGTTCTATAAGTTATGTTGCATGACTTTTTTTTGCACAGAATATGTAATACATGAGTTTGTAAAACAAATCACTGTATTTTATAATGTTATTGAATAATAGGACCCGTGTCCTGTTTAATGCATAGTCCCAGTTTTCCTCAGCCTGTTGACTCTATGAAGTTGAGAACCTCAGAACAATAAACAGCTGCTAATGAGCACCAACCACGCACCGTGCGCTATACAGAACACAGATAAAGAGACTCTTCCAGTTTATCGTTAATATCAACTTAACTACAGTGTTTTTTCTATTGGTTCTGATATTCTTTACAGCTGAGATATTTTTATTTTAATTCTGATAAACTGTACACTATCTTCGGTCTACTCAGCTCCAATCAGCTATCTACCTATCTATCCATCCATCAATCCATAAGTATTAGTAACCAAGTCTCACTTACACAGTTTAAGCAAAATAGTTTTCCTCATTGATTTATTCAGTAAGCATTTAACATGTCCCTATTTTGTACTAGAATTGTGCTTGGCTCTGCAGGTCAAGCAGTGAACAAGACAGACCGAATCAGAATTATTATCTATATTGTCGAGACTCAGCAGTTGCCAGAGCAAACATTCCCTCTCAGTGGAAACACCCCAGTCTGTGTATGTGTGTACTGACATAACCGAATCTTCAAGCCCAGAGTTTGTCGTGAATTGTATTAAATCCATTGTTACTGTTAGTCCCAATGAAAATTGATTTCATATTTAAAGCTGCTAAATGCAGGGAAGGATTTGATTTTGTCTCATAATATTGCCGTATTTCCTTTGTTACTGAATAAAATTGGTTGTTAAATATACGTGTCTAAGAAAATGTAGGCATTCCCAAGCAATTTCAAGTGAGCCTCCTGTCTTAGCATTGATAACAATTCATCACGACACTTGTATAAGTGAACAAGTATCTTTTTCTTTGACTAGGGAGGAGTGATTTTTGTTTTCTTTTTGTTTTTGAGTTAGTGTTTTCCCATTTTACCTTGATTATCATAGTGGTCCCAGTCTCCCCAGATCGATAAAATGTTATAAAAGACGTAAATTAATCCAGAGTAAAATGGTTAAATCCAAAACAAGCAAAAGGGTGTGACGATGAGTCCACCTTACTGATGAGCGGAGTTGGTGCTAGGAATCTGATAGGCTGAAAAATGATCGCCAGCCCATTGCCTTTCCCTGTGGGGATCACAGGCCAGTTTGCTTGGTTGAAAAGGTCACTCTTTCAAGGTCAAGAGGTATCATTGTTCAGAAAAGGGTCCCCAGCTAGGAAGTCCATGCAAGGTCTTAAAATCTGTTTGCAGGATACTAACATTGTTTTTAGAGGAAAAAATAGTAAAGAATTTTGGTGGATAGGATTATTTCCTTTCCAAAAATACTAAAGGAATTTTTTCTAATTATCACCATTTTGTACTGTGCTAGTAATCCGTATATTTTCATATGTCAAAATCAGAATACAAAGATATATTTGTGTTCCCCCGTCTGACATTAACTCTTCCACATGTTGGACTCATTGATTTATGTTTACTTATAGCTCTGTGATAATGGTAACTGTGTTATAACTCTGTGATGATGCATACGTGATAGAAGACAGTGATTCTAATATGCTTCTACCCAGATATAACACAGTAAATTTCTTTACATTTCCATATCTATTAATCCATGCAGACAGTTTTTTCCTTATTAACTTTAATAAAAGGCCAATGACAGAATTATATAATTTAGAGCCACTTTCTAAAAGTCTGAGTTCCATTTTTTTCTTGTATAAATTATTCAAATGTAGGCTATTTTAAACAGATTTTAAGCCCAAATTTATATGGAGAATATTTCATCCCTTTCCATCAAAATTACCTTAGCAAATCTAGTCATCCCCTGCTTTTATTCTTATATTCTGCTTCATCACAGTAGAAATTAGTGTTGGTATGATTAAATAAATATACATTCATTTTATGAGTTGTAAATATCAAGACATACTGTGGAGTTTCATCTTGTAAGAGTGCATATGGCAGCATATGGCAAAAACCACTTATAGTTAAAATGACCTTTGAATATAAAGACCACAGTTTGTTTTTTGTTTTTTTGTTTGTTTTTTTAAATGCATGAGAATCCTCTTAATAGACAGTTTTTACTCCAATTTTGATACCTTTCTTATTCCTTCCATTTGAGCCTGGAAAAGTAGTTGGCTTTTTTGTTTGGGGGTCAGGTTCCACCAAAAATAAGTTGTGTTTCAGTTTTTGAAAGTGCACAAGTTAAAAGCATGTTTGATGTGACTCCACTGTATTTACTTCCGATTTATCTTTAAAGAGAGGAAATAATAGCTACGTTGTCTGTCGCTTTAAACTTTAACATTTCATTCCAAAACCTGCTGTGAACACGGTTTATTTCCATCCTTGATTTGGCCTCTGATCTTCTCCCCACAGGTTTCTGGTTAGCTTTATGGTGGATGCGAGAGGGGGCTCCATGAGAGGAAGCCGTCACCACGGGATGAGAATCATCATTCCTCCACGCAAGTGTACAGCCCCCACTCGAATCACCTGCCGTTTGGTAAAGAGACATAAACTGGCCAACCCACCCCCCATGGTGGAAGGAGAGGGATTAGCCAGTAGGCTGGTAGAAATGGGTCCTGCAGGGGCACAATTTTTAGGGTAAGTTGTTTTGTCAGTTTCAACCTTGGTCCTTACACATCTTTGATTTTCTTTACTCTTGTTAACTCAAGGAGTTAACTCTTAAAACTGCTTAGTTGGACCTGATTGTGTATACTTTTTATAAAGTGTCAAAGGTCACAAAGCTGTGTGATTCCATGAAAGGCTAATAGACTGATACTTTCTTAACTCAGTTTGCTGGTCAAGGCTTTTACTAACCGAGAAGCATGTTCTCTGCTCAGCAAGTGCACGGAACCCCAGTGGTCCCTGTAGAAGTCAAGGCACCATTTTAGGGAAAAAATACAGATGCTGGAATGATTTCACCACATTGAATATATGGCTACTTTGGGGACATGTCTTTTTAAAGAAAATTTTTCAGGAAACAGTTCATTGTGATGCGGTATTTTACAAAAAGGAAAAATAAATTTAATTTGTTTTCTGAGGTGGCACTTGGGTGCAAATCAGGCAGGCTCTGTCGTGACTGACAGTTTGTTCACAATTTCCCCTTCTCGTTTCTCTTTCTGCTGCATGGATGTTATTCAGTAAACTGCATCTTCCTACCAATCCTCCCCCTGTAAATGAGGGTGAGAGCTTGGTTAGCCGAATCCTGCAGCTGGGGCCTCAAGGAACAAAATTTATTGGGTAGGACCTTTATAGACAAGATACAGAATGTCTACAATTTTTTTTCCATTTTCAATTTTTTTCTGTCACACCCATGGTCTGATTCTTGTCTTAAGTTTATTTTTATTTTTTAAGTTTTTTTTTAATGCTTTCAGTTGATGTGTGTCACTGAAAGAAAAAAAATCATAGTGGCTTGACTTGATGTAGCACCGCTACCTATCTTGTGCTTTTCAAGCATGTGGAATTCACTGCAAGCATTCTGCTTTCATAACTTTGTGCTTTTGTAAACCTTTCTTTAATTTGAAATGTTTCTTCTGAATATGATACTTTTAAGACAGCGACAGTCTTTCATTTTAACCCAGTGTTAGGGAAGGTATTTGCAGGCTTTGAATCAACATTTGCTATAAATTTCATGTACATACACCTGTGTGTGTGTGTGTGTGTGTGTGTGTGTGTGTGTGCGTGCGCGCGCATGCGTGTGTGTGTGTATGTGTGTGTGTGTGTGTGATTAGATCTTTTAAAAAAGTACATGAGTACTGTAATTTTTTATGGGCTTTGAGAAGAAGTCATCAATAAGTAAACTGATTTTGAAAAGTGTTGGGAACACAAGATATTTAAATAAAATGAAATAGGCAGCAGATAGAATATTCTTTTAAAGTTATTAAATTGTTTCGTTTGGTTTTGTTTAAGCTTAAATGCATTTGTATTTGTTGTTTGTTCGCTTGTCTGTTTGTTGTATTTGCCTTGGCAGTCTGCATGAAGAAACCTGTTAATGAAAAGCTATGCTTGGCTTTCACCTTGGTCAAAGGCCCTTGTTCATACCTTCTTTCCAATATCATTGAACATCATACATAAAGCCACATTCCTTAAATATTTACAGAGACAGTATCTGACACATTAACCTGCAAAGATTGTATCTTCTCAAAAATAAATACAATTTAATGTTTAATTATAAGGTATAGTTAAACATTATGGTAAATATCTTAATTTGAAATCGTTAATGCTTCTAAGAACACTTGATTTGTTTTCTACTTATTGAAGAATAAAGGCATTATAAACATTATTTCTTAATATTTAATTTAAATAAATGATAATGATTTTGCCAAAAGCAAAATGATCATATTTATCATCTCCATTTTAAATGAATACTTTTCTAATAAATCAATATTTATGTTTTTATTTATGTTATTTGATCATTACAACTACTATTCCTTTTTATGCTCTTACTTATTTAAGCCTGTATCTTCTGTTATCACATATACCTAAACACATAGGTGAAGAAGTGAGGTTCCATACAACCTCTGTAGGAGAATAATGATACTGTCTACTTAAATGTCATAAAATGAAGCTGCACAATCCAACTACATAAACTGTGTGTGATTGTGGTCTGCTTACTTCCATTCATCTTTTTTAGTATTTATCCTATTTTAAAATTTACCAAAATTACTCCCCGTGGCTTGATTGGCTATGTTGAATTTGCAGCCATTCTTTTACATTCCTTTGCAAAAGGACACTGTCAAACTTTACTATGTCATTATATGACAATTTTAAACCAGCAAGTATTTTTTTCAGAAAGTGTAAGTATTATTATGTAGGTTATATTAGAGCCAGGAATTGAAGCTACCTACTACCATTTCACAAATTGAAGAACATAGGAACTCTCTTAACTGTACAGGCCATGAAAAAAATGGAATCTTAATGTTGACGCAGTAGTTATATTGATTGTTTTCTTGCTAAGAAGGAAATACAGCAATAATCTTTCAAACTAGAAACTTTAGAGAATTTTTTTTTTTTAAAAATGGCTGTGTCCTTTTAAATCATTAGCATTTGTATAATATACCTACAGTGTCTTTTTAAAATGGACCAACTTTCTTATGGTCTACTTTAATAACTTTCCATTCTGATTCAAAATTCTTATTCATAGGTACTGAAAATTTTCCCCCATTAAATCCAATGCCTAACATATAGTAGTCCTCCAAGAACTGTTTGTGAATGAATGAATGATGGCATGTTATCAGGCTTCTAAAATATTTAATTAGCAAATGATTCTGCAGCTTTGAAATCATTCCCAACCTTAGTGGCACCTCTGATTTTCAAATGAATACTGTTATTGAAATATTTTTAAAGTATGATACTATAAATATATTTAATCTGATACAAAAATAATGTGGATTTTTTTTCCAGCCCTGTCATAGTGGAAATCCCTCACTTTGGGTCCATGAGAGGAAAAGAGAGAGAACTCATTGTTCTTCGAAGTGAAAATGGTGAAACTTGGAAGGAGCATCAATTTGACAGCAAAAATGAAGATTTAACTGAGTTACTTAATGGCATGGATGAAGGTAACAGTGATGGCTCCTTGGTTCTGTAAATATCTGCAGGCAGAAATTGAAGGAATGGCTGGATTATGTGAAACAGGACTTGAATTTCACACATTTGTTTTTTAAGCTAGGACCCAAGTTCTTCAACTTTTATTCCTGTTTTCTATATCATAAAGCATGATGTTTCATTTAATCTGACACACTTTTTTTCTCCATCGTATAAAAGTACAAGTATTGTGATGATTCCATCTTGAATCACATACGTCAATCTTTCCAATACCAAAGAAAATTTTCTAAGTCAAAAATGGGCAAGGAGAGGGTGAAATAATAATGGTAGGTATGCAAGGCATGCTGAGCATTTTGAAGAAAATGTGTTCACATTTTATTTTTGGAATTTCCTCCGGTCTCTTTCAGCTTTTTCAAGTTCCTCCCAGATAAATTCAGTATCCTTCATACATTTTTAATTTTTCTTGGGCCATAATTAGTTTTTAAAAACTGTTTCATGGTGATTATTGGAGTCTGTTGTGTTTCAATGTCTTGTTCTTTGACATAGTAAGACTGGTATATATCTGAGCATGTCACTTTTTCATACAGAACTTCTTCAGGCTGTCTGACCCTAAGAACATGAGCAGTTTTTCTTAGTAGACATTAGGAATGGTCTGGTTTTGAGAGTAGATGTTTGATGCGGAGTATTCCTTTAAAAACGTTAAAAAAAAATAGAGAACAGGCTCACCATAAAGTCTGATGCTGAAAGAAAAATATCAGAGCTAATTCTTCCTTTATACTCACTTCCTAATCACTCCAAATCTGGAATTATTTAAATAACAACTTTATTAGAGATAGAATTCATATTTCATAAAATCCACTCTTTTTAATTCACCGACTTTTGGAATGCACTCAGCATAGTCTCTCATGGGTTTCACGGTTTGAACCAAGGAGCTAGATGAAACTCTAGGGTACTTGAGGAATGACCTTGGGCAAATCTGTTGATCTCTGTGAGCCTCTGTTTCTTCTGTAAAATGGAGATCACCTTCCTAACTTCCTAGGTTTATTGTTGAGAATAAATACAAGAACATGTGAGGTTCATATGAAATGCTGTCTTTGTCATGGAGTAAGCCCTTGATAAGTATGAGTTATTATCATTATATTCTCTAGAAAAAATTGTCCTGCCAAAGGTTTGGCATAAGACACATCAGTACCGACCATGAATTTAAAGATGCGTTTACAGCAAGGTAGAGGGAAAGTAGTAATTGATGAGTGGCTGGCATTCATGAGGCACTGATAAATGCCTTCATAAGTGAAAATTGAAAAAGAAAGGATAGGACTGCAAATCAAGTGGTTTTTAATTCTACTTTACTTATAAGGAAACTGAAGTTCAGAGACGTCAAGTAACATATCTAAGGTTACCCCACTGAGTAGTAAGGCGGGGGTCAAAATCTAGTTCTACTTCTTTTCTTTTTTATGAGATGAAGTCTCACTCTGTTACAGGCTGGAGTGCCGTGGCACGATCTCTGCTCACTGTAACCTCCACCTGCCGTGTTCAAGCAATTCTTCTGCCTCAGCCTAAACTAAGGCTCAGAGATTGAGTGCTAAACTTAAACCTACACGTGTAAACTTGTGTTGCAGGTGTTTATTGTACAGATTATTCTTTCACCCAGGCACTAAGCCTAGTACCTGTTAGTTTTTTCTGATCCTCTCCCTCCTCTTACCCTTTACCCTCAAGTAGGCCCCAGTGTCTGTTGTTTCCCTTTGTGTCTACAAGTTCTCATTTAGCTCCCACTTATAAGTGAGAATGTGCAGTATTTGATTTTCTGTTCCTGCATGTTTGCTAAGGATAATGGTCTCCTGCTCCAACCATGTTCCTGCAAAAGACAGGATCTCATTCTTTTTTAGAGCTGTATAGTATCCCAAGATGTAAAGAGACAATGATATAATTCTCTGTCTTGGATTCTATATGTGATTTTGGAAAAACTAGATAGCATTTCTTTGCCATTCTTTTAAAGACCAGATAAATTTTGGTTCCATTTTAGACAATTCAAAGGAAATGCAAATACTTGTAGGCTTAAAGAATCAAGGACTGGAGGCCACTAGAGCAAAAGTGAGGATGGAATTTTCAAGGCACAGGTTTTCTTCACATATTAAATTTAACAGTAACGAAGGAACCGCTACACAGTTTATAACTGAAGCTCAGTTAATCTAATTATATGCCAAACTCCAGCCCATCTCACCACTCTTCTCATATCCCCAAAGACACTTCATTTTTTTTTATGGTAATTCTATTTTTAATTGTTTGAGCACCCACCATACTGTTTTCCATAGGCAGCTGCAGCATTTTACATTGCATTTTATAGTGCACAAGGGTTATCCACATCCTTGCCAACACTTATTATTTTCTGTTTTGTTTTGTTTATGATGGCCATCCTACTGGATGTGAGGTAGTTCAACATAAGTTTTTATTTCACTTGAGTAAATGCCTAGGAGCAGAATTGCTGGACTATATGGTACATCTATATTTAAATTTATATTAAATCATTGAGCCATTTTTCAAAATGAATGTACCATTTTCCATTCTGTCCAGCAATACTGAGAGTTGTAGTTGCTCTGTAGCCTTGTTAGCACTAGACATTCTTCTTTTTAAATTTTAGCCATTCTAGTAAGAAAGTGGTAGTATCTTACTGTGGTTTTAATTTTGGTTTTAAGACACTTCCTTCTTATCAGAACTTTCCTGTCTCCAAAAACAGACTGACAAAAATAAAACCCAAATCTGTCTTTTTAAAACGCCAACTTATCTTTTTCCTTAAAGGTCCAACTATTGAAAGTTCTAGTTCAGAGAGAAGCATACGCACAGTTTAGGAGATTTTATGGTTTTTGTGTTCTTTTACCCTCTCTACTCTGTTCCCCTCCCTTTTTGTTACTGAATAACTGTTAATTAACAAGATAAAAATAGTTCCTGAATTAAACCAGTGACCAGATCACTCAAGGTTTCCTTAAAATAGAGAAATAAATTGTCCTACCGTTATCTTATATAATGTATCAATTTCATGACAATTAAGCTTTATCTGTCGTCTGTGGCAGGTGACCCTTGATAGTGCCTGTCTTGTTATAAATGTCTGCTTTTTCAACCCCCTTCTCCATAGATGAATTCTTTGTGCTACTTCATAACAAATCTATATGGTTTTTTTTTTTTTTTCCAAGTCAGAGACTTGCTTTGTCACCCAGGCTGGAATGCAATGGTACAATCTCATCTCAGTTCACTACAGCCTCTACCTCCTAGGTTCAAGCAATTCTTCTGCCTCAGCCTCCCGAGTAGCTGGGATTACAGGCATGTGCCACCACGCCTGGCTAATTCTTGTATTCTTAGTAGAGATGGGGTTTCACCATGTTGGCCAGGCTGATCTCAAACTTTCCACCTGGTGATCTGCCTGCTTGGCCTCCCAAAGTGCTGGTATTACAGGTGTGAACCACCGTGCCCAGCTATCTGGTAGTTTAACAACTAGTCCTGTTGTAGGCTCTTCTCTGAAAATCTTAAAACTCAAGTATTTAAAAAACATCTTAGCCAATATTCTGATCACTGATTTTTATTAAACAACACAATCGTAAAGATCAGTTTATGTTCTATAGTGTGGTAAAATGTGTGAAGCCTTTCCATGTACTCAATCAAATTTAACTCTTAGAATAACTCCTGGGAACGAAAGGTTTAAGGAGGAGGAGAATTCGCCCCATGTAATGTGGTGGTTGGGATCATGATTTATGGAAGTTACTTAGACCAGAATTCTCATGTTGGCTCCGCCACTTACTTGTGTGACCGTAAGCAAGCACTCAATCTCTCTGAGCCTTTAAATTTGTTTAAAAGGCTCTGAGTGTTTAAATTTGTAAAATGAGGATGTCTAATAGTGAATTACTAGGGAATAGATGAGCTAATATATGTAAAGTTCCTAGCATGATGCCTGATGTCGGAAAACCACTCAATGTGTAGTCATTGTCACAACTGCCATGTAAGTTGTGCAGGAGAGCAAATGGGGTCTGAAATCCTGCCTTTTCCACTTGTCAAGCTATCTGCCCTGACACTGATCTGTAAGTCATAGGGGTGCTTTTTTCTAATTTGCTCAAAGCTACTATCTTGTTGCCAAGCTGTGTATCTACAAGGTTGTGTACACCCCAAGGGGGCACCCTTTTCCAAATTGTGTAGAACAAGAGTCACATATATGTTAGCTGGCATTTAAATTTTCCATTACTAATGAAGGCACCCTCTTAGTTTCTTTGTATGACACAAATATGGTATATATTCAGGAAAAATTGTAGCTGCAAAATAAGGGGAATTAAAAGTTATTCCTTATTTCCCAGGGACAAAATCATCGATGGTTTTGCTAATGAAGTAGGTGTGTTAGCAAAGGTCTATTGAAAAAGGAGGCTAGAGTGACACAAAGACAACTGGTCTGGGAGTGAAGAAACTGCCATCAGCGTTAAGGTATCATGTGACAGGAACAACTTTTCACTTTGGCAGCAGACATCTTGTTCTAGTCTTTGTCGATGCTTGTTTTGTCAGCAGAGAAAAAGATGCTGCAAACAGAAAACAAACATTCATTCCCCCTACGAAAGTCTTATGCACCAAACTGAATTCATTTTATGAGTTTAATGAAAACCTGACTTTAATTAAACTCGCAAAGTTGCATTAAACGTGTTTAAAATTACACCTCCAAACTCAGACCCCAAAGAGCATTGCGTAGTTTGCAGTGACCTTGGATCTGGAAGCATGTTCTAGTAGAAGATGTCCTTCCTCCTGTAGAAGTCCTTAACTTACAAATCGAAAAGCTCGAGACGTGTTCTAGTCCTGTACTGTCTGATACAGTAGCCACTAGCTCCATGGAGCCACAGAGCACTGGAAATGGAACTAGTGCACATGGAAATGTGCTGCAAATGTAAAATACACTAGATACATGAAGTTTAGTACCCTCCTCCAAAGACATACCTCCTGATTCATTTTTACATTGGTTACACATTGGAATGGCAATATTTTGGAT